GGGAGGCAGGGGCTAGTCCTGGGGGAATTCTGCCCCACTGCGCATACGCAGAGTTCATGTCTCCTGCAGGATTCTTGCTTGCTCACGGCAAAATGTGGCTCCCCCTGCTTGGGAGGGGGAAGCAAAGGAAGCCACAAGAGCAGCCATGCAGCCTCCCCAGCAGTAGGTTTTGGGTTCCCGAGGCAGCTGGCAAAGAGATAAATTGCTGTGGGGCAGGGCTGGGGCACTGGGCTTAGCTGCTAGTCTCAGCGGGGTGGGGAAGACGGGATTTTCTCATCCCCTGCACAGCATCTGGGACTAGGTCAGACCCGCCCCTGGACTTCTCCGCAGGCTACAGGAAACTGTGCATCTCTCCTCCCTCCCCTGCTCCCTGCATCCATCGCTCCTCAGCTGCAGAGGGAGGGATCAGTGAATGGAAAGCTGCCCGCCCCCAACCTCCCTGCCCCTTTATACTCAGGCCCTCCTGCTGAGCCTCATCCCCCCCCAACTCCTCACCATCCCCAGTTCCCCAGACCACCCTGATGAACTACCTACACCCAGAATCCCACTCCACTGAGCCCCAACCAGTTGCACCTGGATCCCCCTCTGAACCCCACCTCTCCAGCATATGGACTCCCTTGCTTAGACACCCCTCCCCAGCCAGACCCCTCTGCTGGTCTCTATGTGTCCCCCCAGCCAGAGTCTGTCCCACTGGGTCTCTACCACCTTCCCCTGGACTTCCCTGTATAGTCCCATTACTCCCCAGACAACCCCTGTGCATCCAGGTCTCCCCTGCACCCAGATTCCCCATGGAGCTGCCTGCGTCCGGATTGCCCTACAGAACTCTCTCCGCCCATACCTGGATCTCCCTGACATTAAGCCCCTTCACACTTTGGTCCTGGGGACTGAGCCTGTGCGCTGGCATCTGGCACAGAGGGGCAGGGCTCTGGGCTGGTTCTGGGGCAGGCCCTGCGTCAGGGTAGGGGACATGCGGGGGGGGGGGGCCCCCCACCCCTGGGCATCCACAGGCCTGTGCCCACCACTGCCAGGCTGGAGCCTCCACTGTTAGCTGGCAAGTAGAACGTACAGACGTCTGGAGAAGTTGAAAATACATGCTGGAGTTACCCAGCATTGCTCGGGAAAGTTGATATAACTGAGGTGAGGAGCCTGAGTGGAGGGAGGGGGAAGGGAGCTGTGTGCCACTTCCTTGTCCCCCCGCCGGCCTTAGTGAGCGACTGTCCTTGCCACTTCTCCCCGCGCTGCCAAGCTCCATGCAGCCCCGGGGAGAGGCGTCGGTCTCTCATCTCTTCCCTCCCACAGTACCTTAAAACCTCCTCCTGGATGAAAGGTTCTCCCACGCAAAGTTTGGTTGCGGTAGCTCTTACAGTGGCCAAGTTATTAAAGCACAAACACAAACGTTCTCCTTTACAGACATTTTTTTGGTGCAGAATTCCCTCAGGAGTAACTCGCTGTCAATTATTGTGCAGCAACGGCAGAAATACTCAATCAGGGTATGTCTACACTACACGGCTCCGTCGACGGAGTTTACTTCATTTCACGAGGCATATCGGAGCAGTTGACAAAGGCTTCTCTTTCAGCCGCCGCGCATCCAAACTGCCCCGCTGTGCCACCAAACTGCTGATCGGCACAGCGCAGCGGCCATTTTGATGTAAATGAAGCGATGATTATTTAAATTGCCGCTTCATTTTCCTATGTCTAGTAAACTCATCTACATGGCTCCATCGATGGAGCCATGTAGTCTAGACGTACCCTAAATGTTTCTGTTCTGTATTTGTGAGGAAGCCAGAGGACGTCCAACAGCAACTCAGGCAGGTATTAAACAGCAGGGCTGTGTCTACACTGGGCCACTTATTCCGGAAAATCAGCTGCTTTTCCGGAATAAGCTGCGAGCTGTCTACACTGGCCCTTGAATTTCCGAAAAAGCAACAACGCTCTACTGTACAAAATCAGCCGCTATTCCGGAAAAACTATTCTGCTCCCGCTCGGGCATAAGTCCTTATTCCGGAACACTGTTCCGGAAAAAGGCCAGTGTAGACAGCCCAGTAGTCTTTTCTGGAAAAAAGCCCTGATCATGAAAATGGCGATCGGGGCTCTTTTCTGGAAAAGCGAGTCTTACATTGGCCACAGACGCTTTTCCGGAAAAAGGGCTTTTCCGGAAAAGCAGCCTGCCAATGTAGACGCTCCTTTTCCAGAAAAACTGAAAACGGAATAGTATTCCGTTTTAAGCAGTTCCGGAAATTCATGCCAGTGTAGACACAGCCCAGCTGCTGAAGTGGGATGTTACAATTGGCAGGTCTGGACAACTTGCATCTGCGAGTTTTAAAAGATCAGGCCGAGGCTATCTCTGTGCTGTTAATATTGATTTTTCAATAAGTCTTGTATTGGTGGGGAAGTTCCAGGAGCTGTGAGAATGCCAATGCTGGGCTGACATTTAGAAGAGTAAAAGCAGGAAACCTGGATAATTACAGGCCTATCAGCCTGACATCAACTTCAGGCAAAACTGTAAAACAGCTGACATGGGACTCAATCCATAAAGAGTTAGAGGAGGCTAATGTAAATAATGCAGCTCAACACACGTTTAGGGAAACGAGTCTGTCAGACTAACTCCATCCCCCTCTTTTTTTTTTTAATCAGATTAAAAGTTTTGTTGATAAATTCAACAATGTGCGGTGATACATTCAGACTTCTGCAAGGCATTTAATGTGGAACAGCACAACATGGCGATTCAAAACTGAGACGGGTGCAAAATCACATTGGCTGCATTAAATGCCACAGTGCCAGGTCTCCATATGTAACTAAATCTAGGGGTGGGTTTCTAGTGCAGCGCCATAGGGATCGGCTCTGGGCCCTACCCGGGATAGCATTTGTATCTGTGCCCTGGAAGAAGACCTAAAATCCCCATGGACACATGTGCAGGTGACAGAGTGGGGATGTGGTACTGGTTAGGCGTGAATGGGCTGTGGCATCCAGGATCATCCAAAGAGAACGGGAGCCTGTCAGTCCACAGGCTGGGACCCCTGACCCTGGCTGGCTACCCGTCAGCCTGTCCACATTGCTCTCCTGCCAGTGATGTGCACTGCTGCCCCGGGCTTCAGCCCCAGGGCTAGCCCCATGGAGGGGAGGGTACCTCATGGGGGGAGGTCTGGGCAAGGCTAATGCTGGGGCCAGAAACTGGGGCAGTGGCCTGCAGCACCAGCAGGAGAGAGGATCCCGAGCTGCGGTTGGGAGGGGTGGGTGGAGTTCACACCTTGATGGGTTCCTAGCCCTATGGGAGAGCCCTGCAGCCTGTGCGCCCGGGAGCCTGCTGGGCGTAAGAGGGGGATGGATGGAGCCAGGTCCCCCATGGCTCCTGCCCGCCCCTTGCCAGGGCCCTGCATCCCTTCCGTGCCCCTCCCTTCCTGCCCCTTTCCCAGAGGCACCAGATCCCACCTGTGCCCATTCCCCTTCCTGCACCTCCAGAGCAACAGACCCCTCCCCTCCCCATAGCACTGGATCCCTCTGCAGAGCTGATCCTTCCTGCCCCCCCCCAGGCCCTGCCCCATCATTGCCTGCCCACCTGAGAGCTGGGCCCACCTGCCTTTGCAGGCCTTAGCCACGCCCTACGGCTACACTTACACTGCAGGCTTCTTGCGTAAGAACAGTTCTTGCACAAGAAGGCAGTGTGAACAGGCCATCAGAGCTTTCTTGCACAAGAGAGCATCCTCACTGCCATGGACGCTCTTGTGCAAAAGCACATCTCTTGTGCAAAAGCACATCTCTTGCGCAAAAGCACATGGTAGTGTGGACGCGCTCTTGCGCAAGACCTTTTGCACAAGAACTCTTGCACAAAACAGTTCTTGCGCAAGAAGCGTGCGATGTAGACGTAGCCTGCGTGTGTAGTGAAGAGGACTGATCGCTCCTATAGAACGGTGGTTCTCAAACTGCAGTCCCCGGACACTAGTGGCCATGGCTCAAGGCTCAGCTCCCTGCCCCCGCCCTCCCGCAGCTGGAAGTCAATGCTAGTGCTTCAGCCCTGCGGTTCCCCCCTCTCCTCCCTGCCTGTGAGATTGGAGCACCGCTCCTGGCTTCCTGCTGGGGGGGAGCCCTGAGCTTTGCGGGCGAATCTAACTCTTGGGGGAAGCAAGCTCCTCCCCACCCCAGCTATGGGAACAGCAGCAAGTAAACTGCTGATTTGGAGGTTTTCCCCGCTGCTCCCATTGGCCAGAATCATGGCCAATGGGAGCAGCAGAGGGCAGGGAGCCAAGTGCTCCCCATCTCCCTCCCACCAAGACTCTGCACTTCCAATCCGCTCCTGCACCCTCCTTCCTGGCCAGACCCACCAGCCCAGCCTGCTTCAGCACCCTCTCTCCCACTCCCTCCTACACCTTCCCTCCTGGACAGATACCCCACCTTCAGCCCACTCCTGCCCACTCCCTCCCAACCAGACCTTGCACTCTCTTGCCTCCAAACGCCTAGCCAGACCCTCACTCCCAGCCCACTCCAGCACCTTACTCCCCCACTCACCGCCCCCCACCCTCACCCTGTCCTACACACCTGACAGCCCCCTCCAGCACACTGAACCCCTCATTTTTGGCCTTACTCCAGAGCCTAGGGGACTCCCAAAATCTACCCATGCATGGACCTCAGAAGAGTTAATCCGGTCTGTGGGAAGCCCTGAACCCTCGGTCCTCCCCCCGCCTTGGGGTTGGAGCATCAGGGGAGTGAGGTGTCTCAGTTGGGGGCCACATCAGTGAGGGTTGGGGGGCTATTTTTGGAGGGGGGGGGTTGCTTCTCACTTTTACTTAGTGGTCCCCAAAAAGGTTCCTCGACCCTGCCTTAAATCAA